CCCCAAAACCCCAAAACCCCAAAACCCCGTAAGGATATTATGAGATTGAAATTAAATTATTTGGTGGTTAGTTTTTTAGGGAGCGGAATATTTGGTTGAATTTGGACTGGATCATGTCAAGAGGGGAGTCTAGAGCTCTGTCTTTGCCTTCTTTCCGCTTTTTGCGGAGCCTTATTATTCTGGAAGAAAGGGAATCATCTTTTCTATCGGAGTCAGAGCTTTGCTTAGTATAGGGTTCAAATCCAAATTGATCGAATCTGAAATAAATAGTTAAGTAAGAGTCTCATAAGCATCATTAATATTATTATCCTTACTTTTTGCATCATTTGTTTTTCTCAACATCCCTAAGTTTAAGCATGATCTTGCAAATATTTTCAATCTTTCTAATTTTTTGACTTGCCCCCGTAATGTCTTTATCATTATTAGTGAAAGAGTCTCCTAAATAGCATATGTGCAAAATATATACCTCTTAAAATGTCTAGGTTATTTTTGAGAATATTCGAGGGCCTATTATCCAACTCTAAATATGAACTGAAAACACTACCGCTTTTAGGTCTTTGTCTTTTTCTATTTTTTGATCGTTCTTGAGTCCTGTTAATAATGATTATTAAACTAGCATATTTTTAAGAACAAATTACTTCAGCGATTTATTATTGAATTTGCCAGTAAATTGAGAATTTTCTAGTTATTCTCAGCATTGTAATCGGGAGGAAAAGTCACTTACACAGTTTTAGACGAACTAGGAGAAGCTGGAGACTGAGCAGGCTCTAAAGGATCACTAAAAGGAAATACCTAAAGGTGCAAGTATTTTGCTCTTTTTTAACTTATTCAACTTCTTAGTCAATTTAATTATCTTTTTCTTCCTTATTTTCTTACGGACAGGCTTGATTTCAAGGAAATTAGGTGAAGGTCTTTTCCAAACAGTTAGCATAATATTTTTCTGTTGGATAGGGTCCCATCTTGTCACTGTCTCATAAGCATCCTTTCTGTGTTGGATAAATGAGGATGAATTATTAACTGTTTTTGTAGAAGATGGCAATGGAGGTAAAATTCTTTCTCATTGTTTTATGTTATTAATGACAGGAATTTCAAGCTGGCTTTTCATACACCTTGGCTTTACTGTCTTAATTTGGGTAAGATTCAACTGTGCTAGAGATATATTTCTGGTTTGTATATATCTCTTTTTAGGCTTTTTAATCTAGAATAGTATTGATCATCAAATATTCCAGCCAAGTCTCGAAAATTATAAAGAAGTCACCAAAGTTTGTGAAATTCTCTTATTTATCATAAAAAATGAAGTCTTTATTCTTAATAATGTCTACTAAAATATTTAAGATATTATAGAATTTTATTCAGAATGATCCTGTATCTAAATTAAAAGTAATGCTTGATAATTTCCTCAGAAATAAAATAAACCAAGTATTTACTACTCAATTTATACTTAGAAATTTTATTATGAAAATTTTCGAAATTCTTTTCAAACACTTCAAAAAATAGAAATCCAAAAAGATATGGACAAGCTTTAAAGCCTCACCATTGACCCAAATGCTTCCATATACAAACCTCCTACCTTAAACCTCTTCAACCTCTCATTCAAACTTTGTACCATACTTTCTCTCTTTAAATCCTTCCTATAAACCCTATTTACAATTTATCTTCAAATAACCAAAATTCATTTCACCCTTTAATTCTTCCCTAAAGCCCATCCTTGAAAAATCATGACTTACGTCTTATTCTCAAATGGTTCTTTTGGCATTGCTCTTTTACCATTATCTGGCCCAAATAAACTCATTACTCTCCCATTATTTGTTCCTGAAGTTGGATTAGGTCTGAATATAGTTCATTCCTTCTTAGAAGGCATTAAGTCTGAGCTATGAGCAAGACTACGGGTACTTTGACTCTCAGATTGTTCCATTTTGGGATTTATTTATAAAATATTTATAAAAGGTATGCCAATCCTCTATCGCAATAGTGGGGTTTTGGGGTTTTGGGGTTTTGGGG